ATTAACTCCTATGCTCAATGATTTTACGCATGTCTTTAAGTGGAGTTGATCTTGGTTCGAGTTTTTCGGAAAATCGATAAATAATTACAATTACAAAGGTCCGACTCGACAGTCTCCTTGTACTAATGGTAGAAATGTACGGCTGATATGCAAAGGGTCATTCGATCCACAAGAGGTCGTGGGGTCTGAAATGTGGATATTAATAATAAAATAGAAATTCCGTCCGCCTCAATAAACAGCGGCAACAGATGAAAAGGCCGTGAAATGTAATCTCGTTTAAGTTTATTCTGTCGATTTCCGAATATCCGAAGCAAAAATAGGCCGACGGCGTATCTAGTTTTGATGTAAGGTATGGCTGGAGAATTTCACCTTCCAATCGAATGATCCAAATGTTGTGAAAAGATTATTATTACCCACTAAGTAAATACAGAAATGGATACAAAAAATGGTTTACCACGGCATTTAATAATTATACTTATATTGTATTTTGTAGGAGTACCTTTTAATTCCTTGTAGTTATTGATATTAGATTTATTTATAAATCAAATGAAAGGTAGCTTAGTAGTAGTTTTTGTATGATTTAAATCATTACTTGCTTCATATAAATTGTTTAATTTAACAAGACTTCTGTACATTGACATCAATTAGTAAGCTGAAGTATACAGACTGACAAATAACATGATTAGGAAACATATTTAGCTAGTTTATAGCTTCTATATCAGCTACTATCAGCTTCTGATTACTTCATTATATGCTACAAACGTTTTTTTGTACAAAATATACAATAATACATTTGTTATAATATAGATTCTTCGTTTTTAATTTTTGAAATTTAAGCGAATTATAAATAACTAGCTTGTGCCCGCGACTTCGTCTACGCAGGATTAGGATTACGTAGTATCACGCATTTAAACTAAATGAGGTCTATCATACCATACATTACATAATGATGTGTAATTAACGTTTATGGCAGTGCACGGCACAATAGCTCGCAGAAAGGAAGGTTTTTTTCTTAGTTAATGGACACTTAATGTCATATTTTGGTCAGCTCACACAATATCTTTATAAATTGTAGCCTATGTGTCATTCTGATGTATAAGCTTTTTGGAAAGTTTAATTGAAATCCATTCAGTAGTTTTTGCGTGAAAGAGAAACAGACATCCATCTATCCATACAAACTTTGACGTTTATAATAAAACTAGCTGTGCCCGCGACTTCGTCCGCGTGAAATAGTGATTTGGGGTAGAATTATAAATTATTGAGGCTGTTTATTAATTTATGTAAGGGCGCATTTAAGGCAACCAATCTATGGTAAGTGCTCCTTTGCCGCAACACTCTCACCTCACATCATTCCTACTCTAACTCCCACTCTCATTCCTATACTCACTCCCACGCCCACGTCCACACCTACTCTCACTCCCACTCCTATTCCCAAAATGCCAAAGAAGAAAGTTTCATTGTTCTAGATTCAAAAACCAAGAATTTCCATTCATCCCCCTTTTAACCCCTTCTCGTAATATGTCCTTTCTCAGGGTATAGACCATCTGTATACCAAATTTCATTCAAATCCGTTCAGTAGTTTTGGCGTGAAAGAGTAACAGACAGAAAGACAGACAGAGTTACTTTCAAATTTATAATATTCGTAAGATATTAGTAGGATTTACGATACTTAAACTTAATATTAAGATACTTAATATTTTAAACAAATTATTGTTGTTGGATAATTCAAATGTAATAAGACAACATTCTGCAATGTAAAACGTTTTCATCAAATAAAATGTGAACATTACATTATGAATACGAATGGTATCTAAACACTGAGAGGGTCAATGACCGAGGGTAGTTTTTATTAGGGTTCCGAATAAGAAGAAATCTTAAGACCACTAGGGTGCGTACAAATACGTTACTAATGCTTTGTTTAAATATTTTTAATTAGACAAGAAAGATTTAGGAAATTAATTGAATTTCAGAGTTAAAAAAAAAACAATCATTACATACTATTCGTTATATTATTCGTTTATTTTATTTATACATTTAAATAATAAGACTTCACATTAATCAAAGTAATATGGTGGAGCTATGACAATCGACAATTTTAAAGTTTTCAAATATATGTAAGTAGTTACTTATAAATAAATCACTTTTAACGGTTCAAAACGCGAAATTTATGAGATAAAACCGTTAAAAGTGTTATATTATAATATTGAAAAGTGTACTCGCGTAAGCTACAGACATTTGATATGGCTTCTTGTCTACATTTATATCTCATCTTCCATCAAGTATATGGGATTATTGATTAGCAGTAACAATTAAAAATAAAAGACAGAACCCTCCGCGTTCAAATACAACTCGATTCGGCCATATACATTCGCTAGCTTTGTCCCCTTTATTCATATTGTTCCACACTTGTAAAGAGTATTACATGTAATATGCACCACCTTGCTTACTCTTAAGACTTGCACCTCATAACTCTAAATACAGGGTGATTACTTTAACAGCTCACTAACAATGAATTGGTCGTGGTATCTATTATAAGTCCAGAATCAATATGCTAATGCTTTGAAGTCATGATAGTTTTAATAATTCTCAGAATTATTGTAATAATTCTGTGTATTTTCGAATCTTAATTGCCAAAATAAGTCGACGACGCATCTCGTTAAGATGTTATATAGCTATGGTATTTCACCTTCTATCAAGTGCCTATACTTATCTATACCTCTATGAATGAGTTATGAAAAAACTGCGCTTCTGTTTCTAGTCTTAGAATTTATATTTTCAATTTTCAACGCTACAACATACTTTTATTGAGACAATTCTCCGAGTTTTATAAGAACAGCAGAAACTAACAATCTTTGTGAACATCGAAGTTGAGAGAGTTTACACAGTAAAATCGGTGTATAAAAGAATATTGAAAGTTGTTAACACAATTTCATCAGATTGACGTGACAATGACGTTGAAATTAATTTTATTACCTAAAAGTTTTGTATCTACTCGTACGTCAGTGTTCTGAATTTAAAAGCAAGTTGGTGTCTTATTCATATCTCCAACAGAATAAAAAATTGTTTCAATAACACTATAAATATATTTCAATTTGTTTTATTATAAGTGCAGTCCCTCCCCGCTGTGATTCTTAACGCAAAGTCGTGCCCATTTTATAAACACCCTATACACACGAAGTGGCGGAACGTATTTCCATAAATTCACTATAACGTAGTAAGGAGTTAACTGTGTGAATAACAGCATCCTTTTGTGGTGCTTTGTTGTTTTGTGGGAACATCTTTATATTTGGGTCATGCGCCCTATTGTCAAGTATTGTTTGGATGGCGCATTGTTTAAATCCTTTCTTCGGAAAATTACCGGAGAGGTCAATTTTATTGACCTTTATTAGATGCAGAAGGGCTGTTTGAATATTTGTGTGTACTAACGTTGAAATAGATTATCTCAACGTTAGTACACACAAATAGTATCTAAAAATTATTTTCGTTTATCGGCAAAACTGTTTTAGGGAATACTTTTTTATGAGCTCAATATTATAACCTACTACTGCTAGTAACTACTGTATGACTGATTTTAAAAACGTGTTGGTACCACCGATCGTACCCCAACACGTTTATCTTTTCGTGTATTAGCACCAAAGCCTGTGTCCCAGCGATGGGAAGGTTAAATGACTGATATCTTAAGGTTATGGTAACAAAAATTATGAGAATGGTAAAGTTTCCTGCACGTATTACATGTTTTATAAATGCTTATTACAAATTCAGCAAAATCGTTCTGGACTTACATATAATTATATGCCATTAAAAGCAAAAGCTGTTCATCAGTTACTCCGATGTACCAGAAACTGTTTGTTATTTAAAGAGTAATATATCCTCACAAATGTAATATCGTTAAATCTTCCGAAGCGAAATGACGTCGGGTAAATTCAAGTAAAGCTCGGGGCTTCCGTTCGCTGTAATTTAGAATTTATAACAGCACACTTGATTGTGCTCTTATATGGTGAAATCCCTTTTTGGATTCCACAAATGAAGATGTTCTTGAGCTTTAAGGAAGTGAAGAAACAAATAATGGATTGATATAGCTGATGATGAATCTTCGGCTTACGGAGAATTAATAGGAAACTTTTTGCCACGGTTTCCTTGTCTCATTTTACAGTCCCAAGTGAAGATATAGTATGTCAAGTTACTAGAAACATATGTATTTTACACGCAAGTAAACAACAATAAGTGTAGTCCCAAAACTTTTTAAATCAGTCGATAATTTCAACTTTTTTAATTCTTCTAAGAAAGATTTATTGAGCGTAGCCTAGTCCCAATTTTTTGCATAATATCCAAAATTACACAGCTACATAATGTTAGCTTCAAGCATCATATACCTATAGTGTTTTGCCTCCTGGGCTTTTCTTAAGTGCAATAATTATTGCGTATTGGTCCATTCCTTCAGACACAAAATTATCTCGCTCCAGGCTACTTTTGAATTGCTCTGGTCTTTAAGTGGATCGTAGGTGAGTTTTGTTTTATAAGATAAACACTTTCTAACCACTACAAAGCAATTTGGAATGTTAATTTCTAAGAAGCTTTAAGAAGGAAATAATGGTTGGCCATTATGATAGCTTTTATCAATAAACTTTTATACAATAGTAATTCTCTTCTTTTACTTATACTAATATTTTCTTAAATCATTTAGCTTAAGTTGATCATTATCTATAGTTCTTTAATTATAATTAAATATTCCTTAGTACCTAAATATTCAGCCTTAGATAAAGATGTCAGCCATATGATTTTCTTTTTTAATACATCGGAGGCGGGGCTCAAACCCACGATCTCTTTCCGTGCTGTTTCTCAGCCAATTTACCTACCGTGTCTCGGCCGTGATAAAATAATTTTCTTATTCTCTTCACGTAAGTATGTCAGCTATTACGAATTTCACAGCTAACTGCATCTCCTCGTTCATGCAAAAACCTGTATTCTTAACTGGTCCATCTAAAATCTAATTCCAAAAAATGATGGATGTAGTCAAACCCGATAGCGTTCTCATCGGAATGAGAAACAAGATTACAATGCAAGGTGGCGTGCAAAAACCGGCTGATAATGCAAATCTTCAGGCCTGCTACGATTGCGTATGCAAATGTAATCCTTGGACCCAGTATAGCTCCCTGAAGTATCCCAAAATTAATGGGATTAGACTTCAGCATATGTGTGAATCAACCTCTTAGGACCTATAAGAGTCCTCTTTTAGGATTAGGACTAATAAAATGTATTCTTGCTTAGTCATACTATATATATAGCTAGGTAGCAATCAAATGTTCATAAAAAATAAGCTGGCCATAGTTGTATTAGAACAAATGTATTAACATAGAACATGTGGTTTAGTATTTTATACATAATTGATAGCTAGCCTAAAAAGTTAATTAAATATTAATATGATTTCTGTTACTCTTTAGAGTACCTAATAATTCACTTTTTGTTTCAGGTAAGCATTCGACTCGAGAGGAATGGTAAAAAGTACAAACATTGATTTATGGTATTTTAATTAGGACCACCCGAGTAGAATGGATTTATAGCAACAAAAAGAAAAAGTCTAACGTTTGGTGCATTTTTATAATTTATTATTCACATATAAGTTTTAACACAAATTTAAACACAATTGTATGTCTTTGTCTACGGAGTCCTTGACTGGGATTCTTTATATTAAATTATAAAAGCTTTCAATTTTAGTTTTGATTAAAAATAAATCTTTGTCTTTGTGATTACTAAGACCACATTCGGAAAATTCCAATATCAAATATCTTCACGTGTGAACTTCAATTAATTTTGGAACGATTGAAGTCCCATGTTGAGTTAATTATGGGTCAAAGTGGGTCGCGACTCGTGACCCTTTGCTTACACAAGATCCCAAAATACTCATGTAAGGTCAACGCCTTTGTAGAAATAGAATTTCGTACGTTAGATCCTTCGATAAGTTTAAACGGATATGAGACCTTGGATGTAATTATATGGTCATATGAGATTTGAGATTATATTAGTATTAATCTATGGGTTTTCCCATAATGGCTTTAATTAACTGTAGACCTACATTTAATATTCCAAAATTGGTCTATCGCTGTACTACAAATGTGACTACAGATTTACCGCAGTAGTAACGAAATTTTAAATTTGGAATTACGTTAAAAGTAGCAAGTAAACAATCAAATTCAGGTTATATTAACATTACAAACTTCGTTTAACAAAATCATGTCAATACTTTTACGGTTTCAAAACGCGAAATATTACTTAGCTTATTTAGAATTCAATTTTTTCCCCCCAAACACAATTGCGACGTGTCTGAAATTTCGGGTCGTAGTTAATAATTTGTAGTTAAGTTAACTAATATATTTCACGTTTAAACCCGTTTAGTGTTGTATTTAAATGTGTTTTACTCGCGTAGAATACTGCTCTATTATGTCAACATTTTAGGCGTTAGCGTAAGCGTAAATACATAAACTGACAAAATCATTACCTTTTAGCACCGTTGTCGAGTAGTAAATCCGTAAATTGTTTAAACTTTTAAGTTGTAAAGCTTATCTATAAGTTAAGTCTGTTTATTTAGCTAACAGGGAGTAAAGTCAGTGTTTGTTTTAATCAGCTGCACGTGACTTTAAGCTTAGCTTTAAGCAGTAGTTATCGTGTTACCAAATTGGAGTCTGACAACTTGTTACCTTTCACAGTTAATAACAAATAATGTATTAACAATGGCTATAAGGAATCTGTAAAGTCATTTTTGTTATACATTTAATTACCATGACAAATATGTGCGTTCATGACACAAGACATCAATTTGTTTCTGCGTAAGACATGTTTATGACATTTCCTTGACCTGAACTTAAGATAAATTATTCAGTGCACGACCTATTATCGAACTCCTGATTTCACGAACGTAAAAATGTGGTACTACATTACTTGGCTTCTATACTTTAAAAAATTTAGTTAATTTTAATTTTACTTTTTTTTAAATATAACATAACCCGTTTTTTTTTGGTTAGGTAAGAACTATTACTAAGTTGTAGAAAAATGTTTGCTTAAGGTCCAAGAACTGGAAACATACTTTGTATTAAAGAGAGAGTGCAATTATAGTTAATTAAACAATCGAGACTTAGGGTTAAAGAATCCTTAATTAACATTACAATTAATACTTTCCACTTGTATTTCAACGTACAACAATGTACTATAACAATTCACTAAAAGCAACTGCCTTTGTTTTTATTGTTTGAATAGCTTCCGATCAAATTATTGTCCTAAATGCATTGCCCTAAAGACACAGGTGGTCCCATACTAGCACAGTGACCCCGTTTCTGTGGCCCCGGGGGGTGTCCCCTTGGAAATCTCACTATCGTTTCTAATTAGGAAGCTGTGAGATCACGATAAGGAACACCCCGGGGACATTACGCTTTTTAGTTAAGTGTTGCGTGAAAGCCAATGACCCTTTTGTTAAATCACTAATTTCTAAACCGTTACAAAGTCAAGTACTAACCCCTAACAAATTATTCAGTAGGGACTTTGTTAAAAAAATTGCTTAGTTAATGTACTTAGTATGTGAATGACAAACAAATCTAATACTAGTATTGCTTTTCTATTCTGAATAATGATAAACACTTTTACATAACTTAAAACTAAAATAAAATAAAAAATAAATACAATTGGAAAAGTTCGATTTTCAAATAACAAGTAGTAGGTACCTGCCTGCCGCAAAATTAAAAAATTGTGAAAATAATGTGGAACGAAACTAAACGATAATAATTAGGTATAATATCATATAGGTATTTTAGTGCCAATTTTTAGTTAAAAATTGAAATAAAAGACATCGTAACACTCAAAAGTATTCAAGGTAGGTATTAGAGTTTTATCAAACTTACAAAATATGTTAATAATATTACATGTAAACAATGTTATCTAAAATGTGTCGGCCAGATATGAATTTCTCCGAACGCACGTGCATGGATACAAAAGCTTTAAACACACCGATAAACATGCGAAACTCTTTGTTTTTCTGTGTCCATGCACTGCATCGTTCATAGCACTTTACCCAGGTAGTTAGCTACTATAGGGGACTATTAGTATGCGTCGCAAAACAGAGTGAGGAGGCGTGTAGCATCAATAAGATACAGCTGAGTAACGCACGACAAATGCCCCGTTGAACTTGGAATACATTAGCGAAAGGTACCTTGTACATAATGAACGAGCTATAACAAAAAAACCACTCAACTACCCCTTTTAAACTTTCCACAATTTTTGCAAACAAATAAACGCTTTAAATTCAAAGTACATTCAAAATGAACACTACAAATGCATCTATATCTAGACCGTTATCAATTTCAAAAACTTTCGAACTCAAGTAGTGTGCTGCACATTCACAGCCGCATTGCATCTCAATCCTGCGCGGGCGCACGCCTATGACCAATCAGCGCCGGATGCGCCGACTTCGAGAGTTCAGTTGAAATTCGGCTGTTGTGACGCGCGCACGTCGCTTCGTTTTGTAGAGACTCGCCGGCGTGTCCGAATAGTTTGAACGATTGCTTCTGAAAACAAAATGTGATAAGTGGTTATAGTTTCATGGATTGTTGATTATATTTGAAAAACATTGGATTTTTATTATGGTGATTGTGAGCGTTTTTAACAGGTAAGATTATTAATGTTATTTGCATGACTGTGTGCTTGTATGATTATATAAATTGATAATTGAACTATTATTTTCTTTTACAATAAATATTTAAAAATTAATTAACGGCTACTAAACGTAATGCACGTATTATTTACTACTGCTCAAGTTCCGTCTTCAGATAGGTACCGACACTAATTACAGTTGTAATTGCAAATAATTCTTCGTTACGATTCATTTAATTTTAGTTAACATTATGCATATCCACATAACTGACAGAATGAATTGTGGCTTTCCTTGTTTTTGATGTTTAATCGATTATAATCTATAGTGAGAAATACGCAATAATTACATAGAAGGTTGAATGAAATTAACGTAAGGATTACTAAATCAGCAGGTGTTTTTACAGTCTGCCATTAAGTATTAGCGAAAGTAAAGCAACTTGATAACAAGATTCTTTGATATATTTATAACACTTTAACGGTTTAAAACGCTATAGATATTTCTTAGTCAAACTAATTTGAATATTATTCTAACTACTGTCCGACGTTTTGGATGCTTTGCAGCAGCCTTGGTCGCGGGGAGACTAAAGATGGAGGGTGTCTCTCACGTAAAAGTAAAAAAGTGCTAGCTAGCGTTAACAGTTGACGCTATCTAGATTTGGCTTTGACATTAGGGACACCCTTATCTTCAGTTTCTCGTGACATATATAAAATAATTAACGTTATAGATTAATTGCAAATTAGTACACTTAGTACTAATATATTACGCGTTTTAAACCGTTAAAATGTATTATTTAACCTACTACTCGCGTTAACTACAGACAGTATTTAAGATCCTTTTATGTAACTTATAATGTTGAAAACTAAATTTAATTTAACAGCCCCCTCTCTGCCTAAATTAAAGTAAAAATAAAGGATGTAGGTAGGTATAAAGCTTGAGAATGCGGGTTGAGTTACCCTTTGATGTTTGAATTGAAGTCTAGCCTGGACAAATAAACATTGAGGCTGCTCCAAGTGGGCTAATGACGCATGCCATCTGTCATGACAGTCATCGAATCATCGGTCACAGAACATAATGCCCCCTGCGCTTTCGAATCAATCAATGACAGATGTGTCATAGGGCGGTTTACTTGGTATTTTACAGATTTAGCTGTTAGATCCTATTTGATGTGATGACATAATTTTACGATTAATGATATTACGTTTTAGGCGTTGTTACGTTGTTGACATAATAGTCATATAAATAAAGTCTTAGGGGGGTATTCTAAATTAAATAATATGTAATAATCTGTGTAGTTTACGCGAGTAGTACACATTTAAATAAAGTACTTTTAACGTTTATAACGCGAAACATCATGAGTTAATTTCAATCATGGAAGGACTGAAGATGGAGGTTATCCCTAATGTCAAAGTTAAATCTAGCTAGCGCCATCTAGGTATTTCGTCGAAGTTGGTATTTTTTGGGATATGTGCATTTTAAACCGTTAATAGTGTTTTATTTAAATAAGTGATACCTATATTCAATAACTTCCATTGTAAATTAATTTTGTACCAGTTTAGTGAAAAATGCATATTTCAGAATAACTTTGTTAAAAATCATTATGAATTTTCTTCTTTACTTAATCTATAACATAGTTAACTAAATTATAGTTTGTTATATGAATATGTTCCTAATTGACAATTTCAGATGACGGGTTTAAACCTGATTCATTTACATTGTTCATATCTTTATTTTTACTTACCAACTCGCAACCAAACATTTTTTAATTAATTTAAACTAACAAATAATCACGAAAAATCTAGATGTCACGTAACATTTGTGTATCTGTGGTACTAGACAAGAATCACAGCGAACAGAAATTAGAGCAGGCAAGAACGCCGCTTGAATAATTAAATGACTTAGTACCTACAAGGCGTTTAATAATTACACAGTTAAATTTATGAATACATTATACATTGAAGTTAGTTTACGCAAATAAAGATCTTAAACTTAAGTTAGCCTCTGCGTGACTTAAGTGTCTTTCTAATTACTTAAGCAATCGAATAGTGCAAAACGAAACAAGTGCTGCGTAAGTTAAAGTAGTAAAAATCGAAGGTCTAGGGAATTTATTAATTCCAATTCAATTGTACAAACTTATAGGCTATTTCTTAGTTACATTGTTTTGAAATTTTCCCATAAACAATGGTTAAGACAAACTGTTATATCCTTTCCCTTTTATTCCCAGGCACGACAAACGGTACAATTCGGCACGCTAGCTTTAACACCTGTCAATATTTGAGTATGGTAGTTAACGCGAGTAGACTTAAACATATGAATGAAACACTTTTAACCGTTTAAAACTTAATTTACCTATCTTCAAACCACCAGACCACAGCTGCTGCATTCGAAACGTCAGGGCGTAATTAAAATATATTGTTACTAAGTTAATTAATATGTTTCTTGTTTTAAACCGTTAAAATAGCATAACAATCACGACTTAACATTTCGTTGAGCTCGTGGGTGTAATAACGTGTCGCGGGTTTAATCCCCACCGGCTACGTTTTTCAATTAATTTTATATATTTTTAGACCCAAATTATATATAAATAGTGATAAAGAACTAGCAATATTTTTTTAATAACATTAAGTAGTTTCAATTGTTTTGTAAAGTAGTCATGTATTGATAGATATACAAAAAAATTACACATTCCATTATATAAATTAAGAATCAATTATCAATTAAAAAAATTCACGTCTCGGGCAGGATTTGAACCGGCATCCACAGCGTTTCGTGCTGTTGCTCAAAACAATTGAGCTACCGAGTCCAGTCGTAACACTTTGTTAATCTATATAGTGCTGTCATGTGCCACATGTGAAAAATATTACAGTTTTACACACATTACATTGCCAAAAGTTAAATGGAATCGCCCACAAACATTAATGCATGGAAGTCTGCAGCTGAGCCTACGTCATGCGTGCACATGCATATTCAAAGATCAGTTTCCATTTCGCGTGCGTAATCGGAAACGGGCCAAAACATTCACAATAAGCAAATATACACTCTATGTCCATTGCCGTAAGTTGAAAATCATTTACAAGTTACACCGGTATGATTTATTCATTTCCAATTCACTACTGTAAAGAGGAAGAGCACAAAAAAGAGGTAAAAAGGAACAAATCTAATTAGACCGCGGTTTAACACGCGCGGGAGTGTGACGCCGATATGCGAACACAGTGCGGAAGATATTGACGGATTGTCAAGAATATATTGACAGGTTTATGTAAAACAATATATGTAATTTAAGTTTACGCGAGTTGTACACGTCTAAATAAAACACTTTCAACGGTTTAAAACGCGAAATGTATTACTTAGTTACAATTTATTTTTACGACGTTTCGGACGCTTTGCAGCCGCTACGGTCACGGGAGTATATGTAAATCATAAATTTCCCGTGAAACCGTTAAAAGTGTTTTATTAAAATATTTTAATGCTGTCTAAAGCCAATAAATAGGACGACAGCGCATCTTATTAAGACGTTACCTAAATTCAGTGTATAATGTATTTCATGCGCTAGCTGTGGCCGGAACTTCGTACGCTGTTATGGGTATTAAAATAAAAATATGGAATTTTCCCTTCTTTCCACATTTCCCACTATTTCTGCGCAGTGCGATTTTTTATATCCTAAAGTCTCGCTAAATGTTCAAACCAACATAAAAAAAATCAATTCGAACAGGTAGTTTCTGAGATTAGCGCGTTCAAACAAACTCTTATAGTATTAATATAGATACTTAAGCCGTGTGATCTGCTGATGTATCTTCAAATAGATAACAAAAGTTCCTAACGATCTACTAATGTTCAAATGACCAACTAAAAGAAATTGCACTACAAACCCAATTGTTATTTTCAGTTCCACTTTAACCGAATAAGCTAAATACATATTCCCATAATAAATAATTAACTTTCTTCTTATGAATACAGTTATTTACGTATGAGAGTATATCATGTGAATTGTGAGTTATCTGTGAAGACAAGTAGCTGAGATTTATTACCCAAAAAGAGCAATTAATCTTTTCACTGATTTATGGTATTTTAGCAGTGAAGCACCGCCTCCTTGATGGAAGTGTGTTTTCGATTCCCAGCGGAAATAAAACTGATTTTAATTAACTTATCGTTTACTTCCTTTAGAGTTTGCAAAATTGTTGAAACAATTAAAGAATGAAGCAGCCATCCATCTAGATTATATTTTTTATATCCTGTCTGAAGTTTACGCGAGTAGTACACATATTTAAATGAAACACTTTAACGGTTGAAAACGAGAAAATTTGTTGAATATTGTCTTTTCGATACCACGACTCCTGCAAAGCATCCAAAACGTCGGGCGGTAGTTAAAATACGTTTGACATATATATTTCGCGATATAAACCGTTAAAGTAAATTTAAATATATTTTTATGATAAGTACGAATGATAAAGTATTTTCTTGATTGATTTAACGCCTGATATTATTTTTAATAATCATTAGCATGAGGATTATGTTGTTCGTTTGACTTATTGATTATATTTACAGAAAGATAGATCAGACTTCTTAGCCCAACCGAAACATTTCATTTTTTCCCTTCGATTCGAACCTAAGAACTGTCGCACTTAATGTAGGAATCGTTTCATTGGTTTTAAATTTTAGCTAAGTTTTGGACAAAGAACCGTTCTGTTAAACGAAGCAACAACTGTACTAGTAAGTAATAATCTACTTCACGGCGTAGAATATCTGTTGTATCACAGTTTAATCACTATGATATCTTAAAACGTTCGAATTAAAGTTCCTCATTATCAATCCTTAAAATACCACCTCCAAAGTCCAAGAAGTTTATATAAATTCTAAAGCTTAACTTAATACTAATTGACGCGATACAGACATCCAACCCACATATTGAATAGCCCACTTGAGAGCAATTTTGATAAAGCATAATGTCTTGATAATAATCTAAATAAATCTTTATTCTGTACTAACTGAGGTCCGAGTGGGCTCGCAATGAATCACCTAGTGTCCTCGCCCACAGGCATATTTACCTCTACAAGTGCTCTGTCCACTATTCCATCACCTATGACATTCGATTTGGAACCTTATCCTCCAGTAACAAGCCCAGGATGTCCGCAGACAATGTTCACCCCGAGGTCGTTCACTGCACCTACTAACTAACACAAAGTTTTAATTTAATGAGAACCAATATCATTATCGTTTTTATGTGTTCTTTTGTGTTTTACTGTATTAATTTGAATATTTTTTACTTAATAAGATGACTGTTCATTATTAGCTGTATTAACTTCTTTTAATTTTTTTTTAGTTGTAATTAAAATCATTCGGTCCAAACCTACCACACTGACCCAATGTGTACTGTATGTCATATGCCGGTGTTCTAAAGATGTTGTCCATCCTCGGAGACCATATATCAGTGTATACTTAATATCTATATTTAAAACGAGGCGTGGATTTGATAACCGCAGCTGGGTCCGACGTAGGGATTTTCTATTTCCTTTGGAGCAACCCAATCTTTTCTGTCCATTAATTCCGGTGCGCGACTGGTGGTCAAACGCCATACGGACTGAATTCAGAAGCTCCGAATTAGATCAACACGGTTTTGAAATAATTACGAACTCATTAAAATGTTATGTAATTAAAACCGTCATACTTAAGCATATGCATTCCTCTAATAAGATCATTATCGCGTTCGCGAGGGAGTTATAACTTTCGTTTCGCAATTTCGCTCCTACCAGAGGAAAGCTAAATGCGGTTTAATACAATACACTTTCACTGTTAACTGCACAACTGGCACATATTTCATAGCTGCTTATCTGTGTTGCCCTAGAAATGTTTATTTCGAATTCACCACAAATCAGGTCACATTTGCTAGGCCAGATGCCGGGGGACCTCTGGGGATGGAGCTGAATGCTTGAGACGTTTCCTGGCAATGTGGTTAGAAAAGCGTTATGCTGCTAGGTACGTTGTTATAACGTTTGCTTGAAGTACACAGGGCATTAATTGTTAGTGAGGGACATATCTGTGTTAAATGATGGATATCGTTACTGTCTGTTTTCATTTATCTATTTTACTTGCAGTATAGTTGATAAGATTTCTAAGTTCGAATAGAACACTTTTAACGGTTTAAAACGTGAAATCAATGAATTATGCTTTGCATTTTTCTTTCTTTCTTTCAAATATAGCTTATTTATAATTTATTTTAAGTACGAAATGGAAATATCTAAATGTGAACCACTCGCGTAAACTGTAGTTTAACGAAACTTCTAAGCCCTATCCGAAGTATATGTTTTCTCCTGGGTTTAAACCTTGGGTCTTATTTGCGCTTTGCAATAAGCTTATAATAGAGGTTGACGCTCAGGGAGTGTAGATGTTAAAATATAAAGTTGCACGCGATGAGAATTAAAGTAGTACCGGTTATTAGTTTAAAGGCAATTTAAATCCGTTTAAATCGTTAACAAAGTAATTAAAGAAACAACAGATTATATAACGATTATTTGAAGTACTTCTAGCGAAACGTGGTATAAATATACGTTGGACCTAATATGGTTAGAAATAAAATCCGAATGTCGGTTCTTGTTTATTTCATCAATTAATATTATATTATAGCGATTAAAATACTTCTTTATTAGTAAACTTCATTGAATATTATTATTTATAAAATTGTATTATTGTTGTTGTAAGTTTTTAATTATTGTACTACATACATTGCTGTAAAAAAATAATGTATTTTGTCTTTATATTTAATCTAGGCAAGATTTGATTTTGAAGCTACCGAAATTCAGTTAGAACAATAATTGTGTACTGTATTTCGATCTATCTCTAATATTTATTGTCTTAGTTCCGTTCCGTGCTTATCATTTGTTATTGTTGTGTAATCAATGGAAGATAAATATACTGTACATATTTATCTACTGGTAACTAGACTATTGTTTTATTTAGAAAAGTCAAATTATTATTTAATTGCTGTCCAATAAATTTGCAATTAACAATTCTTTAGTGAAACCTAGTCATCTTTTTCTTACGAATAATACTATAATACTAGCTGTGCCCGCGACATCGTCCGCGCGGAATAGTGACTTGGGATGGAAATTTTAATTATTTAGGCTGTTTATTAATTTATGTATGGGCGCATTTAAGGCAGCCAATCTATGTTGTTAGTGCTACTTTGCCGCTACACTCTGACCTAACATCACTCCTACTCTCACTCCCACTCCTATGCCAAAAAGCCAAAGAAGAAAGTTTCATTGTTCTAGCTTCAAAAACCACGAATTTCCATACAAACTTTCATCCCCTTTTTCAACCCCTATCAACCCATTTTTGGCAAAAGTAGCCTATGTCCTTTCTTAAGCGCTAAAATATTTGTGTACCAAATTTCATTTAAATCAGTTCAGTAGTTTCGGAGTTAAAGCCAGACAGACAGACAGAGTTACTTTCGCATTTATAATATTAGTATTGATGGACCCTTGAAAATTAGAATGCCTATCTTTTGAAAACATTTATCGTTATTTCGGGGATTTCCTCAAGACAGTGGTGTTTGTGTTAACTTTTACGACAAGTTTAGACAAATGTGGTATAATTTGCAAAATATTTCGGTGTATATTTTAAGTACATACTTAAAACTCCTAGTTCGTCAGCTAAAATTTCGTCATTTTGTGTCAAAATTGATTATAATTGATTTGTTTTAGAGAGCAACAAATGCGTCCATGCTTACTAACAAACTGTAAGTATTTATATTGTGAGAATCATAAAACTAATATCGTAATGTTAATCACAAATTTAAATTAAAAATTAGTTTAAAAAATTCAGATCATCGTTACGGGTAATTAAACACGACAGTATGATTCAAACAGAAGTTACATTTTCACTAGTTGATGGAACACTTGCATATATGCATGTAACCAGTAATTATGGTATTCTTGCAAGATAAGAGTACGATGTACAACAAATTGGAGAAAGTCCACGGCCACACGCCATCCCATACCAGCAAGCGTCATTAAACGAATTTTATTAACGTCTTTTAATTCGCGTTTTTGTTTCAAATGTCGAATTTCACAGTTTCCATTTGTAATGACATCTAATGAAGACATTTGGTTGTTTAATAGTTTTTAATTGTTTTGTTTAAATAAAATAGTTTAACGGTTTAAAACGCGATATATATGGTGACATGGTGGTCACAGGGAGACGAACCGACGACGGCTGCTACTAACAATAAAGTAAACTACAGACAGTATTTGATTTGATGTCTAATATACGGGATAAGCTACAATGTAAACCCACCACGCTGTTTCATTGTGGCGGCGGGCATTAAGTAAGTTAGATGGGATTGATGGAATGTCGTGCTCTCCAAGTTTGGGGTGGTGGGTCATTAACAAATTCATTTAAAATATAGATGTTTATTTTTTTCTTTTTCTCGACTTAAGATTCGAACCTGGGTCTCTTACTATCCTAAATTAAAATTTAGATTGAATAATTTTGACCACATAGCCGGGACTTGAAGCGGCATTCACAGATCGCCGCGCTGCTCTAAGTATCCTTGTACTTATTTCATACATTAATGTACTTAAGTAAATACGAATCTTCATTCTTGTACGTCTATTTCTTCTTTTATTTATTAATAAAGAAACAGCTCCTAATATAATAATGTCTTTTACCCATTTTTGTACTGGGAAAAGATTTTTATAATAAATATGGCAGAAATATCTCGATCTCATTTAAAATTTTCAGCTGGTCAAATAGAATTGTTAATTGCTCAAAGAGTTTTATCAAGGCGGAGAATAAAGTGTCGCTCGAATACTTTCTTTTCAAAAAGCGAGACATTAAAATTGCAAATTTTTCGTTTAACCACAATATCATTATTAGTATGGGATCGAATATTGTTAGTTGAGTATTTCTATATATAATTGAGTTTGTTTGTTTGTTTGAACACGCTAATCTCCGGAACTATTGGTGTGAATTGTCCCACCAGTAATTCCTGAGAAAATAATTTTTCAATAAAAAATCTTTTAGTGTTGATTAGCATTTAACGATGAAACAAAATAACTTTTGTACGCGGACGAAGTCCTGGCACAGATAGTAAAGCTTTGAATCCGAAATTTAGTAAAACCTAGTTTCGGACCATCTCTAGTAAATACTTTCTCCTTGTGCATATGAGCTATCACTAATCTACCAGCCCATATGATAAGACTGCAACACACGTGCTTGCATGCACCAGATAAACACATCAATTAACATTTTTCACACTCCGCGGCGTGTTATTTTTCTCACTGTTTGCAACGGAGATGCACTTTTTCTTTCGTTTCGTACATGTCGTTTACCTTCTTGGATTTATCACCAAGAAAGTAGTTTTCTAACATATTTTTCTTTTATCTTGATCACAAACCGTATCTAATAAAAATTTATGTTATAACTTTTTATTCGTAAAAAATATAACCGAGTTTTTTTTTATATCACACCTTATTACATATCGTCTGAATATTTTTACAGTGTTTACTGTGGTCAAATCTCATAAATTATATAAAATATAATAATTTATATAAAATATAAATTTAAAACCCAATTTGTTGTTGTTGTTAAATTACGCATTTGCCTTGCTTGTCTTTAATTTGAAATTGAATACATAATCGTTACATAAATTATATTAAGCTTTTATTATTTATTTAGTTGGTAAGCATCTTTTAAATTAATAAATAAATAGTCTATATAGGGAATAATCATAAAATCTACCCTCATTTCAATATAAAATGTATTTGTAACGATATTTGTATTTTAAATATCTTTGTATATTTGTTTGTAGCCGGCATATATCATATTAGCCTTTTTGTTATAAAAATCAAATTTTAATTTCTAAGAAATATTTATTTCTTTGCCAAGTATCAACATCATCATCCTTCATCGGCGAGCATTGTATAGAAATCGAAGTCGGAGGCACTAGTGCATATAGCACTGCGCCAACACGGCACTCGCCGTACAGTACATTGTTATAAAGCGATCAACAATCGGTATTAATCCGTCAATGATTATTGCAAAAGCGGTATGAATGGGCAAAAATGACCCCAACAACGGAACGCAATTGGTCCAACAAAAGATTGCAATGAAAGTATGAATTTTATTGTTTGCATCTGTCAGGAAAGCGGTCTCATGCCATATAGTTTGTCTAATATACGATGATAAGTTTAACTATTGACTGACGGTACGAGATATAAATGTAACAGGATTAATAAATAAACATATACAAATATATGGTTCTTATAAATTGTATTTTATATAATGTGTTAGCCTACTTTGTGTAATCTTAAATTGTATAATTGCCATTTCTAATATCAATAAAATAACCGGAACGAAATTGGCCCCTAAATAAAGTATACAATTAATTTTAATTTGTTAGCGCAGTGAGAGAGTGTTTCGCTACCTACGAAAATAATGCAATACTTAATGGATGTAAACTGTCAAACTTATCAGCCTAGATTAAACAAAGTATAGAATAACGATAATCATGCATGCCTCTGTGCGAACCAATAAAATAGTGAGTTATATTTGCGCACGCGCTGCATGTCAGATA